GTGAGTCCTTGCTCAACTCAGGTACCGTGATGGTGCTCTTGTCAGCTCATTTTGTAGGCCAGGTCAAAACTACATTGACATTTTTCTTTAACAGACCTTAGCTGTCATATAGATATAGTCATTTGGAGTTTCTGTCATCGAATGAAGAGATCTGGTTCTAAGGAAGGCAGATACCAAGGAGCAGTCTGAAGTACAAACACTTCGGCAAGTGCAGGATAATTAGCAATATTTCTAAGATGTTCCATTGTCAGTCTCCAGAGAAAAAGCAAGTGTCTATTACTGAGACAGAGCTAGTCAGTGTTTTCAGAGAATCAGGAAAGAGTCTCTTGAGGCAGATTAGTTGGAAAGGCAGGTAGTTGGAACCCAGAGTATGTTTTACCAATGATAAGTTGTTGGTAGTATATATGAATACAACTACGGTGGTAAGGCAAATCTGCTGCAAAAGACCTTTTTGAAGAAGTGCTGAAGAGCAAAGATGTCTCTTTGAAGACTAAGGTGTGCCTAACCCAACACCCAATGGTATTTTCAATAGCCTTATATGCATGTAAAAGCTGGACAATAAATAAAGAAGACTGAACAAGAATTGATGCTTTTGCGTTGTGGTGTTGCAAAGAATACTGAAAGTACCATGGACAGCCAGAAGAACGACTGTCCTGGAAGAAGTTCAGCCAGAATGCTTCTTGGAAGCAAGAATGGCCAGGCTTCGTCTCACCTACTTTGGTCATGTTATCAAGAGGGCCATTCCCTGGAGAAGGATGTCACGCTTGGTAAAGTGGAGGGTCAGTGAAAAAGGTGAAGACCCTCAACAAGGTGGATTAACACAGTGGCTGCAATGATGGGCTCAGGTACAGCAAGGATTGTGAGGCTTGCACAGGACTGGGCAGTGTTTCATTCTGTTGTTCATAGGGTCACTATGAGTCAGAGCCAACACGATGGCACCTAACAACAACATGGTGGTAAGACATCCTTTACAATATAAAGCAAGTGGCAAGCTTGAGATGGGATGGGGTATTCTTCTGGTGGCTGGCTATTTAAATAGATTTGTGCAGTGACTAGCTGCTTACAATTTCCCAGTTCAAAAGGTAGTGTAAGAGACAGGCTAATAACATGAAACAGAAAATAAGATACTTCCATACCCTTTTTTTTTTTTTAAATATTTATTATGATTTGGGTGAAAGTTTACAGAACAAATTCACTTTCCATACAGCAGTTCACATACACTTTGTCTCATGATATTGACTGCAATTTCCCACAATGCAACAGTTCTCTTCCCACTTCTTCCCCATAGTTACCTCTTCCCTATGTCCTTCCCTCCCACGCACTCCTGCCCTTTGTCTCCCTGTGCATAATAAACAGCCCTTCTATTCTCCCATGATTTATCTCTCCAAGGAGTGTATCTACTTAATGTAAATGTTCAGCTCATATGCCTGTCTTTTGTTTGGCTGGAAGCCACAGGAGTGGGTTCAATTCCAGACCTGAAGGGCAGCTAGGGGCAACAGGGGCCATAGATTCAGGGGTTCCACCAGGCTCTATTTAACCAGCAAACCTGTTCTCTCTCTCTCTTTTCCTTTTATGATTTTGAGTTTTGTTCCACATAGTTCTCCCACTCTACCCAGGATCTCCTACATAGATCCCCCACCGAGTGACACAACCTGTTTTAGATGTTTGATATCCATGGTTCCATACCTGTAAAGTAAGCACAATTTTTCCATTTTATTCTGAAGACCTTAAGAAAGTAACTGAAAGTGCTTCATATTTTTAGTTCTAAAGAAACTATGAAATGTTTCACTCAAGGTTCTCAAGAAGAGATTCCATTTATTTGCAAGACATTTGGGCAGAAAAAATGTTTTTTTCCTATCCACAGATAAGAAAATGTAGAAAAGCATCCATTTGTTACAGGAAGATCTCCCCAAGAAATGTGCATTAAGCTCTGACACATGCTGAGAATGGGTTTCTTGAAAAATTCCAAACATAATCACCTGCAGGCTAAAAGCAACTTTATCAGTCATCAGAGACCATCTGGAGACCTATGTCACCCAGTGATGGCAAACATAAAGGAAAGCAAATACTTGGTGTGTGTGTGTCAGTTAATTTTATGTGTCAACGTGACCAGGCTCTAGTATCCAGTGGTGGGGTCAAACATTAACCTAGATGCTATTAGGAAGCAGTTACGTGTGATTCAGTCAGTTGGCTTTAAGTCAAGTAGGTCTAACCATTCAGTTGAAGGCTTAAGAACAAAAAAGGTTTCCCTACAGGGTATTCTGCCTCTAGAAAACAGACATATTGACAGAATTTCTTCATTCTTCACATCATTTTGTGGCACAAGTCTGCAGGAATCTCTAGTTTGTTGCCTGACCTACAGATTTTGGACTTGACAACCCAACGTGAGTCAATTCCTTAAAATAAATCAGTCTCTCTCTATACTTATCACTGGCTCTGTTTCTCTGGCGAACCCTAAGACAGTTTGTATGGTCTTCGTCCACGAGCACATCTGCTCATGAGATCCTCACCACCCATAGCACAGCACGATCAAATCTGGACTTCCAAAGGTGGGGTGAGGACATGGCCTCCCCTTATCAGCACAGCCCTGTGGCCCTGTTTCTCAGAGCAGGTGCTACATGCGTCTGAGCTGTGAATGGTCTTTATTCCTCAGTTTCCACTTCCCAGCTCTGTCCCTTGGATCCAGAGCTTTTTCTAAGCCTAACCTACCGCACTCAACTTCTGAGTCTTTCCTAAACTGGGTTCTTCATATCCCTTTGTGTTGTTTACCACTTAATCTACATCTCCCACGTCGTAGTAGCTATTTTCTTCCCAGGGAAGCACACTGCACTGACATTTCTGTGTCCCTCTGTCAAAACTTCCCATTTACAGTCCTTAGTGGCAGCTGTCACATTGTAAGGATGAAAACCACCCAGGACATGCCCCTAAAGTACCGGGTGACTGAGGTCTGTGCTGCTTGATCTATTTATATCCTTACTTTCAGCTCCAGAACCTTAATCTTAACGTGCTCCGCAAGGAAAGCAGATGGAATCAGGGGAGGGCAGGACACGCAGGTTCACAGATGCAGCAGGGAAGATGGGGATAAAGCAGTCACCATCCTGAGTAGCAAACGGTTGTTTCTTACAATATTTTTAATTGGTCAGGATTTTGAAACCTGGCATAAAGAGACCATCTTCCTAGATCATTTCATCTCAAACCACCACACAGCCCTTTCCTCAGAGAACTCTCTCCCGAGGATTACCATTCGATTTTATCTGAAGAGCAAGTGACACTGACTTCTGACCTACTTACACCAGAGTCTCCCTTGCAAGTGCCCTGTATGGAGGGGCAGCAGGGCCCTCCACCGCACTGTATGCTGGCCACCTTGAAATGAGACAGGACACACAGTGGCTGGCCAGCAAGGCACACAGGAAGCCCGAGCAGGACTGCCTGATTTATAAAACTAACAACACCATTGTGGCTCACATGGGGAATTAATTATAAACATAATAACACTAGAAGGAAAATTCACGATTGTATAATCTTTCTAATGTCCTTTATGTTATAAAATACCAGCTACTAATTAAAAATCAGAAAATGCTCAAGCTAATGAGATTTGCAGCAAAACAGCATTTACCAACAGGTACCTTTTGTGATCGTAATTCTTTCCTGGAGTCCCTGGGTGGTGTAAACTGTTAAGGAGTGCAGCTGCTATCTAAAAAGTTGGAGGTTTGAGTCCACCCAGAAGCACCTCAGAAGAAAGGCCTGGAGATCAACTTCCGAAAAATCAGCCACTGAAAACCCTCTGAAGCACCGTTCTACTCTGATGCACAAGGGGGCGCCACGAGGCACAATCAGCTGGATGGCAATTCCTCTACTAGCTGTTCTTCCTTGGATCTGTATTGGCGCAGCTCTGATCCTTCACTCCCATGGTTCTGACATAGTGCAGAATCATCATTTTTTTTTTATCATCATCATTTTTTTCATTCATCATCATTCTTTTTCCCCTTTCTTTGTGTATGAAAAGCACTTTAAATGATACGTCAAAAAAATCATGTTCTTAAGCCTTTCAGAGTAAAAACTAACAATTACATTTTAATATTACCATTGCATTTTTTAATGTGTACATCCATCTACTCAAGCTTTACTGTGAAGTGTTTATTATCATCACTCTTTAAAAAAAGGTATCAGAAGTACACTTGTAATAAAACAGGATTTTAAAATCAGAAAATGATAACCAAGAGACAAAGGGTATTTTGACAGGAAGCCTACTTTTATGCAATTAAAAAAAAAAACTTTATCAAATGAAGCTCAGATGGCATATTATATTTTATGCCTTCAGTTTTTTAAATAGTTTTAACAATTACTTTACCCAGAACCCTCCAATTGTCCAAAAACATCATAAGTACAATTAGTTTATTTTCAAAGCATCTTGTCAATAAAGATGGTTGGCTAAGAAATGAAGCAAAAACACAACAGCCCAAAATGTGATCCCAAGCCCAATGAAGAGGCATTTAGTGAACAAGGGTCTCTCTTGCATACTAAGCAGGCTGGTTAGGCTTGACCAGAATTCCTGAGTAACAATGATTCAACTACACAATTTCCCTTACCATTGTACAATGCTCCATTTATAACTGTAATAGCTCAGAACCAATACTAATCCAACAGTATTATTCAGGAACTTGAAATTATATTTTTCAAACACAATATCTATGCATAATACAATGATTAAGGTATATTAGGGGGAAATATAGGCTTAACAAAACACTGCTGAAACATAATAGAGTCTGCAGAAATTAACAAGATGACAGAAATATTTCTCATTCCATCTCAGTTTCTGTTAAGTACTTCCAAAAGCTATTTATTTAGCACCCAAAATGCCAAACATAAAAAGGGAAGTTGACCTCTTGATTTCTGTCCTGAAAATTTTTACTTTTATAAAATAGACACATAATGAAAAAAAGTTGCATAAATTCCTCCACATGTGAACCATTTTTCATCCATTCATACACTTCTACACTTTACATCTTTACCAAAAATCGTGTGATGTCTGAACCATGCTTTGATGCCAGAGATTGTCTTCTCACCTGGTTTCTTTCTTTGGCTTGTCTGGCAGTTCTCTAAAGTTAAAAATATACATGCATACATATGTTAGGGAAAAAAACACTCACTTTGGAACTCAAAAACTCTTTGTATTCTGTTAGTGTGGAAAAATCTGCATTAAAAAAAATTAGGGGGCTTTCTATACCACAAGGCAGAGGGCCCAGCTGATCAGGTGAGTGCCCAGGATCAGCCTTAGGTTCATTGGGACCAGATTCTGAGGAGAGGAGACAAAGCTCTGGGGCAGTTCATGGAGACCAGGAATCCTACATTTGGGGACTAAGAGAAACCATGATTCTGCTCAACCAAATGGGAGCTAATAGCCATCTTCAATTTCCCAGAGTCCTCAAATTGTCCAAAACACTAAAAGTAAACTTAGCTTATTTTTAAAAGCATCTTTTCAATAAAGATAGTAGGATAAGAAATAAAGGCCCCCACTTCCTATTTTCAGTGCCCAGAGACCATTCCCAACTCAATAACCAAAGCAATTCTGATGAGCACATTGAGACAGACAAGAGCTAGAATCTTTCTTCACACTTACAAATAACAATTTTCAGGAAAATCTCAAAAGTAATTAAAGTAGAGGCTACTTTTTCTTTTACTATTTCTTAATTCTCCTATAAGTCTTGAATTTGTTAATAAATTGCATAGCTGAGAAGTCCATGTGTGTGTGAAGTGATCCAAGGGAAGATGTGGGGAAAGAAAAGAAGGTTGAAACTAAAAGAAAACAAAAGTGCCTATCTGACAAAATCCCATTTATGTAAAATTATGTTTGAGAAGAGATTATGGAATCTAATAAAAGAAAGCTACTACATACTACCCAAAACATTGTTCCACATCCTACTTTGGTGAGTAGCAACTAGGATCTTAAAAGCTTGCAAGCAGCCATCTAGTTTGAACAATTGGTCTCTCCTCATCCACAGCAAAAAAGAATGAAGAAAACCAAAGACATGGAAACAATTAGTTCAAGCGACTGGTACACCATGTGATCCTCCAACTATACAACTACAAGACTAGAAGAACTAGATGGTTCCCGGCTACCACTGTCAACCACTCAGAGGGGGTCTATGTAGGAGATCCTGGATAGAGTGGGAAAACAATGTGGAACAAAACTCAAAATCATTAAAAAAAAAAAAAAAAAGGGACCAGGTTTGCTGGTCTGATAGACCCTGGTGGAACCCCTGAGACTATGGCCCCTAGCTGCCCTTCAGGTCTGGAATTGAACTCGCTCCTGTGACTTCCAGCCAAACAAAAGACAGGCATATGAGCTGAACATTTACATTAGGTAGATACACTCCTTGGAGAGATCAATCATGGGAGAACAAAAAGGCAGTGTATGTACAGGAGACAGCTCAGAGGGTAGGAGTGCATGGGAGGGAAGGACACAGGGAAGAGGTAACTATGGGGAGGAAGTAGGAGAGAACCTGTGGGAAACTGCAGTCAATGTCATGAGAAAAAGTGTATGTGAGCTGCTGTATGCAAAATCGATTTGCTCTGTAGACTTTCACCCAAATCCTAATAAAAACTGTTGTTGTTGTTGTTGTTGTTATGTGCCGTCGAGTCGGCCCCGACTCATAGCGACCCCTCCTTGGGTTTCCAAGGCAGTATCACTATGGAAGTAGG